CAAAAAAAACGTTGACTTCCTAGGTTATTAAATAAATTAATTAATAAGACTCTGTTGTAGTTAGTAATAACATATTTTTTGCACATGAGATTGACCAACCAAAATTTAATTTTAATAATCCTTTTATATCGAATTATTTGCTTATTGCATAATTACGAGAAAAACGCAGTGAATTATTCATTACAATATTCTAATTGATGTTTATGCCATTACGTATATGTTAGGCTGATTTATTGCTAGATTTTTGGGTACTTATTTAAGTATTGGAGGGACACCGCACTAGATTTAAAACTAAACACATTGTTCAGATATCCATCACCAGGATTGCTAGCACGGACCGTGAATCAATCACTACAACTCGCGAACGGCAAAATCCTAATGTATTGGAAAATTGAACTTACAGAATTCTGTTTTTTGTTTAAGACCCAAGATGTTTATGTCGTGGTTCGAATTTATTTTTATTTAGATAAATACTGATGGATGGAGGTTTATTTAAAATGGAGTTTACTTTTTAAATTATGTGTTGTGTTTCATGTAACTTTATTTGGTTGATTTTTTTTTTGGTTACTTTGATCAATTTTTAAGAATGAGGTTTTGTATTTGAGTTTTTATGGGATACCCCTCGAATTCTATTCACCTCGTTTTACCGTAGGTTGGCAAATGAGCAGACGGATTACCTGATAGTAAGGCGCTGTCCATGGATACTAGTAATAACAAAGAAGTTACCACAAGTGCTTTTTTCATCGTTTGGGGTTTATAAGAGATTTAAGGTTAGGGGATTTGGGGATTGAGGATGGGTGAGGGGGAAGAAACACAACACGGTGAGACACGGGTTCACGATCTTACATTTAAAATTTCCTTTTTCTATTGATGGCACATGTTCGTTATGTTTAAATCATTTCGTGTATTAATGCGTATTTAATGGGAATTTTTAAACCAAAATCTCAATTGTGGACATGCTCGTCCTATCCTATTTTTATCTTTTCTAGATAAAGTTTTGTATTGTACCCCAAAGACGTAGGTTGTATACACTACTACCTACGTGAGAAGGTGATTTTGTATAAGTAATAAAGTAGAAATTTTGATGGAAGATCAAAGACACGGATGGGCGTAGGAGATACACTACAGCGTGAAGCTAATTAGAAAGTGTTACCAACCTACAAAAAGTATTGATTTTAGTAAAGCTTTTATAACGAAAAAGGTAGACTCACGATTCCACGTATAAAAATTCAGCTTTGAAATATTGGTATTATATTATCTCTTTGACGTTTTAATCAGAAGTTAATTTGTATTCATACGCCTCCCAGTATGAAATTGTTTACCCCTAAAATGAGACATTTCGTTGGTATTCCGTTGGCGCCACAAAAACTGTACAGCCATCCATCCAAAATACGTTTCGTACTAAATTAATTTTACTGTAGTATATTGCTTTTTTCCAGACAGAGATATCCTAGCATTTGTTTTGCTAAAGCTGATGATGGAAGGTTGTATGTTTAATCAAACTATTTCTTATCTGAGAAACAAATGAATACAAATCTCTCTTGTATATTACCTATGTCTGTGTTCTTTGTTTAAATTCTATAAAAAAAAAACATTTTTTCTTTTTAAACACGCTGAAAATGTTTGCTTGGTTTTGAGCATCGCCGAATATTTTTGCTTTATAAAACTACAAAAGCCTGTTTTACGGTGTGTGGATAATCACTATGTACTTTACCATATAAATAATATAGAATATAATTTGTGTCATATTTTTTTTTTATAATAACGTTGCCGTTAACATTTGGGTTTTCTCCTGTGTCGTGGGTGCGTTTACAAACATACAATTTCACATGCACATCACACCCAGACCCGGAACAACAATCTGTAAATCACACAAAGAGTTGTTCCGTGCGGGAATCGAACCCGCGACACGTTGCGCGACAGCCAGTTCAGCCACCGCGCCAAATGTCGGATACTTATATTACGTCGGTGGTGGAACAAGCTCTTAAACAGCGATCATAAGATGGGTAGATGTAATTATTTAAGTTCAAAATCTGTGCGTAAACTATATATTTCTTTGATATTTTTGGTGGAATAGAAGGCAAACTATTTAGCGCATTACTTGGTGGTTAGCGATCAGCTGAGAAAGCAAGTAACTAGAGCGTAGAAGGTAGCGAAGTCAAGACTAATGTTAAAAAATTAGAAAATTGACCCACATTAGGTAAGCGTAGGTTTCTTACCCTTATCAGAAGAAAAGATGATAATTTATTTATTTTATTCGACAAAATGTGAATAAAGGTCGTATCGTGATGGCCATGAGGTTAAGGCAACCGCCTCCAATGATAGTCGTGCATGAAGTTTGGGCTTACAACCTGACTAGTAACACAACTATCTTTTTTCCTTGTTATGTACTTTCTTAGATTATTAAGACACCACTGACAATGGTTAAGAAAAACTAGACTCCAGGAAGCTTGGTCAGTAGTGCTCAAACCTCCTTCACATGAAAAGAGGCCTTTGCTTAACAGGCATACTTATAGACTGCTGATAATTGATAATTCATCATCATCATCAGCCTATAAGTGCCCACTGCTGAGCAAAAGCGTCTTCTTACAGTCAAAAGGTGGATTGGCGATTTCAAACTTATAATTAATTAGAAATTATAAGCCCAAGTTTCCTCAGGATGTTTTCCTTCAGCGAATGTCAGTGGCGTCTAAATAATCATAGAAAGTACATAACTCTGGCAAAGTCATTGGTAGGTACTTGCCAAGTTTCGAACTCGTACCATCATGCATGAGAAGCGGGCGCCTTAACCTGCCATCACGACAACTGACAATTATGATGTGAGTATGAATATGTATTGTTAATACGGACCCTTTGGTATTAATGCTGCAAATAGGAAAATCTTTGTGTAATATTGTTCTATAAGAAATTCGATGATAGTGGTCACAGGCAGTTATAACTATCATAAATAGGTGGTTTGTTTTGACAAGACAATGCAATGTTGGTGAAGGCCCTCGTATTTAGTATGTGAGTCGCGATGAGACACTCTATTGATGTTTCCGATTGAGTGAACAAATTATTAACATAGAGTTGATAAAACAGAAGAAGTTAGTTTGGACTGGTTGGTTGGTGGGTTTTTTGTTAAACGTTCTCCCATTAGTATTTTCTCCGTAGTCGTGGGTATGTTGACAAATATGGGCCCACAAGTGTGGGAGAGCTTTGTGTTTCAATGGCCGGACCATTTGTGCCGGAGTGATACCGAGGTCTTACAGAAAACAGGCGTGAAACAACCACAGCGTTGTGGTTCACCGTGAGAGTGAGGTTACCGGAAGCCCAATTCTTCCGTTCCCCTCCGCCAATCCCTCCTCAATCACTAAATCTCCAAAACCCTAATCCCTAAAGGTCGGCAACACACTCGTTACGACTCTGTTGTTGTTGTGTTGCGGGTGTCAATGGGCGACGCTGATTGCTTACCATCAAGTAATCCGTTTGCTCGTTTGCCGACCTATGACATAAAAAAAAATACAATTTTGCATCGGCATGGCAGTCGGTGGCCCTGCAACCGTGCCAACTATGCTGTCATGAGTTATGTAAGTTGGTTAATTGGTAAAACCGAGAATAGCTGGAAATGTCTTGTATAGGAGTCTCGTTACTTAAACCACCCGTGGTTTCTCTTAGCTTTTAACACTTATTTCCAGATAAAAAAATATCTACAAAACAAAGACTTGGGAAAAATGTCGAACATTTTAAACTCACAAGCTTATCAAGAATTCTTAACAAAAGCCAAATAGTGTTCTAAGTAAAGGGTTTTAACAGCTCCATAAACTTACATCAGCTGTATAGAAATCGAATCACATACTCCTTGATTTTGAGGAGTTCACAATCGGAATACCAATGACGTGGCGTCACTTTGAACGGAGGGTAGTAACACTTTACTGCCGCGCGCGCCCTCTTGGTCATAATCTAAGATGTACGCAATTTTGAACACCGCGCGTGCTATTGGCCATTTCTTTACGTCTTGTAAAAGAATATTATTTTCTATCTTTGGTCTTTGTTGGCTTATAGGTTTTTTTTTAGTTACGGATGGTTCATACTTGTTTTATTTGCTACCTTATTGTTATCATCACCTAGATTGTGATTATTATTTATCTGGTAAATTACTTTAAAATTCAATTCGATTATTATTGGGGATCGCGTTAATGGTAGAATTGGCATTGGTGGATCTTTGTGACTGCAGGGTATGATTATTTGACACTTTTTATATTAAGCTTGATGTTTCTCGAATGGACAGTAATGAAAATACAAATCCGTTGTAGCCAATATTGAACAAGCCAATTACCAATAATTGGATATAAATCTTGACTAAACTGTGCTATTATCGACTTAAATGTTAAAAAGATAAACAATAAAGATAAACAAATTATTTGAAAATGACAGCAAGCTCTACCTTTCTCTTTCATTCACTGCACTATTCACCATTTAAAATTCATTCAGCTGCTTTGTTAACTTGCCTTGCCAAGGGTGCAATTCATTTAATAAACTCTTCCACGACATAACTTTTAATTAAACAGTAAGCTGTAGTGTCACCTGAGAAATGCTCTAAATATTTCTTCGGTCAGTGTAACATTAAATATTTTATATTGTAATCTGGCAATACAGCGTTTCGTCTTTTATTGACGCTGCCAGACCTCTATAAAGTTTCTCCCCTTTACGACACGAAGCGAACTAAAACTTTTTGCACAGTTTTATTTCATAAAATTAATTATTTAATAATGAAAATTTTCAAAGGAAATTAAGGTAGTTATGTGTCGTGGATTTTTTTTCGATTTACAAAGGTACGCTGTTGATAAAGGATTCTGTACGTTCCTACGTGGAATTCACTTTGTTTGAGTAAAGAACAAACGATTTTTTTTGCAGTTGGTCAACTGTAAAGGGAAGATATTTATTTTTCTGTATCTACGAATACATCATAAATAAATTAACAAAATAATAAAGAGAAAAATTTATTCACTTAAATTAATCTACCACTCAAAATAGTCGATATGTGTACAGGAATTGACATTGCCGCAGTGTTTTCTGTCAGTCAGTGTGGGACAGTCGCGACCTCCATCCTTCTTTTCACGAACCACGCTCCTGTATCGAAGTTGTTCTCCGAAGCCACAGGTGACTGAGCAAGGAGACCATGGACTCCATTCCGATACGAGACAGTCGTTAGCTGGGAACATAAAAAATTCTGGTGAAAAAATATTCATCATCATCAGCCCTCCCACACGGAGTAGGTTTGAGCATTAATCACGCTTCCTCAAGGTGGATTGGCGATTTCAAACTTGTAATTAGGGATAATAAGTCCAGGTTTCTTCACGATTTTTATCTCCACCGTATGTCAGTGTTGTCTAAATAATCATAGAAATTACGTAAAACTCTGAAAAAGTCACATTGGTACTTGTCAGGTTTGGAACCGGTACCTTCATGCGTGAGAAGTAGGCGTCTTTACCTCCGGGCCATCAAGACTCTTAGACGAAAAAAATATTATCACTATAAAAGTCTAGTCTGCAAGTAAAGCGCCTAGAGTGTTGTAAAAGACCGGTGCAGTAATAAATCAATCCATAGTCTCAGAGCACATTAAACACGAACTACAATAATAGTTCTTAGTACATAGCTGTTAGGAGTTCCTAATAATCTCAAAATGGATAAATAAAATGTTAAGTGTTGATCCCTTGTGGTGTGTAAAGATTATTATTTTGTTACTACAACTGTGACTAGCCCAAACAAATAATGACGAAAATACTGAGCGAAAGAATGTAATAGATTTTAGATAGTGAGTCGAAGAGTGACGCCTTGAAGTAGTCTTGGACATTGGTAACTTTTTTTACCTAGCACACTAATTTAATGTGTTTATTATTATTGGTGTAGGTATATTTTATGTGATAGGTCGGCAAACGAGCAGTTGTATTACTTGATGGTAAAGTGGTAGCCCCGAGGTAAAGGCGCCCGCTTCTTACGCATGAGGGTACTGGTTCCAAACCTGATAAATACCAAGCAATTGGTGCCGCCCATAGACAACAGACGAGTTACGAGTGCATTGCTGGTCTTGCCCTGCCCATTGACACCCGTAACACCAAAGGAGTTACGATTGCGTAGGTACTTAGATAATTGGTTTCCATTAGTTGAAACTCTACTTAACTTATCGGTCCGTGTTTTATAAACATTAAAACGAAAACTTACGTTGTATCTTGTTAACTGCATGATGAAGTCGGGATCTAAAATGTCTCGGCAGATGTTTGTGGAGACCTAGTTTTCTGCCGTGAGCAACTGCTAGAACAACATCGTCCATGCTCTTGAGTTCACCTTCAAATTCTTTTTCAGTTGTTCTGTAATGTTCAAGAAATACCATAATGATGAAATATTTCAACATAAGACAGATCAGGGTACTTAGGTATATTTTTTGTGTTGACATTGATTACTATTTGTTCAGATGTTGTTACTCACGCTAAAATTTAAATAATGGTTTATAGTGTTTCTAATTCATAAACGTTATGACGTTGATGACATAATAAATCAAAATCTAAACCTATTTTAACTTGTTATCCTTTTGCAAAATCTACTTACGTGGTTGTAGGAGCTGTTGTCACAACAACGACATGATTTTCTGGTACATTAGGCCTTGGTGTTCCAACGGGTTCTTCCTCTAAATCCTTTAAGGCATCCATATTGGTTCTTGTTGTTAATGCAGGATGTTCTTCTTCCTCATCGATTTCTTCATCACTGTTATCATCGTTAGCTATGTCGGTTTGCAGATGTTCACTGTTTTGTTCGGTTTTAGCTTTGAGTGTTGATAGAAGTTCTGTTCGAGCTAGATTGTTGAGTTCCTTTGTTGAATATTGTCTTACCTGAGAAATAGAATCTAGATAAATAAACGTCGTAGACTTTTTACTTTATTCGTTTCAAGTACGAGTCTAAAGATTGCTCTCTTCCATCTCAGAGTATGAAAAGTATTTATTTTTATGTTTCCTGATTTAATCTGGAACCATCTTTTCATTAATAAACTTTGTATTGCAATAAGACTGATCACATAATTAGCAGAAAACGAAGTAAAAGTAAAGATATAATGGTTTATTTTTCAAACACCTACAACTTACAATAAAACATTTTTTAAATTTAAAAGACGCAATTATTTCTCATTTGTTGGTAAGAATTGCTCCATGGCTTCACAAATTGCTTCTTCATACAATGTAACTGCAATTTTATACGGGAACGTTGGCCAACGACTTTGTGCACATAGAATTTATAGGGACACTAATATTTTCTAGAAATTCTTTGCTCCCATTAGCTTTTGGTGGAATTCGCTTACAGAAATACTTTATCTAATGTTTTCTAGCTCAAAGTTGACCTTGAAAAAACACTGATAATCAGTTACGTATTGTATTAACTATATTTTGGAAGGATGGCAAGTATGAAGTTGTTTTATAGTTTTTGTTGGTAGAAAAGTGTAAAGAGTATTGATAATCAAAATCAGTAATTTCAGATTAAATAAAATAATGAAACAAATGATGTTTTCTATCCAAACTTAACATTATAAATGCGAAAGGAACTCTGTCTGTCTGGTTTTTCTTCACGCCTAAACCACTGAAGCTATTTGTGTGAAATTCGGTACAGACATAGTTGGGAACTCGAGAAAGGACATAGAATAGATTTTAAACAAAAAATCTGTAGGTAATCACAATGTCACGCGATCACAGTCGCGGGCAAAGGCGAGTAAAGAAATAAATGAAGCGATACTCAGTCCTTGTTAAAAAGGTCTAACCTACATTTCCTGTTATTTGCACGATATCTAGAACAAAGCGTAAAAATATCTAGCAAAGGGAGCATAGAACAGTGTGATTTGATTAAACACTTGAAGCATTACGTAGGAGAGAGAGCCGATAGCCCGTATAACATGATTATGTACTTGTATTAACATAATTGTTACATTACGCCGGGTTCATTGCAAAGATACGAGTGCTGTTACAATTGTAGAGGTTAGATTAATAAAATTGATGCTTTATTGAATGATTAAGTTGTTGTTTATACTTTTTTGTTTGATGTTTTAATACATAGAGCATAAATAAAAGAATCACTTCAATATTTTTAGAGGTCTATTATGTTTACAGTGCGGATACCTTCAAAAGGTGTTGAGTATCTACAGAATTTTCGTACATTTCAAATTCCGTTAGGTAGCTATGATTTTGGATGACAAACAAAATAATTAAGTAAGAAAATTTAAATATTATCAATCCATCGGTCAGAGCTCTAGCTATTTGCTCGATCCAAAGTATAGATTCCTATGGAGAAGTGTAAATGAGTTTTACTGTTTTTATTGTTACTTTACCTTGGTAAATTCCACTTTGGCTATGGCTGGCAGTTCTCTTAACAATGGATAGTAGAAACCGGCTGCTGGATGATCAGGTAGTCTTGGCTTGTGCCTGGTCACTGGGTCGGGAGGGTTGGTTTCCCAGCGAGGAGCTGTGAACGTCAGACCACTTGCTGCTCCCGCGTCCAATGGTTCCAACTGCATATGAAGTTATAAATGTATTCCAAGCTTTTTCACATTCTTCAAGGCTGTTTTAGACTTAAATGTTATAACTATCGTGAGATAAACTAAATTAATTGAACGACTTACTCATGTGTATTAACTAAGGAAACCTCTACTAGTTTCAATCACAACGAAAATCATGAACAGCATGCACGTCGCCTCGACATCGTGCAGCCAACTTTGTTCATTCAAGTACCTAAGTCGTTATTCAGAGTTATTTTTGAGATTTTAATGTTGTTTCCTATTTTATAATGATATATCCTATTTTATACGATCAATAGTTGATTTGGATAAATTTTATTTATTTTAAACTGTATTTATTGTCGCAGATGCTTGTAAAACTTAGTAAGTCTGCTGAAATAAGTTAAGTTGTTAAAATATTAAGTAGGTAAGCTGAATTAAGGTATAGGTATCAACATCCTAAAAGTACTGAAGTGGCAACCACGGACCGTAAAACGTAGCGTGGTAGGTCTCCCGCTAGGTGGACCGACGACATCGTCAGAGTCTCGGGGAGCCAATGGATGTAAGTGGCGAGTTGTCGTTCGACGTAGACTAAAAGGCATTTGCTAAGCAATAGACGCCTTCCTGATAATGATGATGATGATGATGATGAACCTAGTATTAATACTAAAATTCTGAAGTATGTTAAAGTTTTTGCTTACGTCAAGAGTTATCTGATCGACCCATGAGGAGTCCACGCATAGATTTACTCCATCCACCCCAATGAACCAGTCAGGCGACGGTATCATTCGACATATGAGAGATACCTGCAAAACAAAGACAATATTTTGTACTTACAAGCTGAAAGAAAATATAAAAATGTATCTATAACAAGTCAAGAATTGTATACAATGATTAGAAATAAGTTACCTTCATTTAATTAATGAATAATAAAACAGTTTTTCAGTACCATTAGCACCAGAATTGGAGTAAAATATTACTTTTTTTGATTATTTTTGTAAACTTTACTCCACTTTGGAAATTTCTCCTGTACCGTAGGTGCGTTTACAAACACACTATTCCACATACCATTCACACCTAGAGAACAACAATTTTGTGGATCACACTTAGAGTTATTCTGTGAGGGATTGGAAACCGCGACGCGTTGTACAGAAGTTGGTTGTCCAGCCACCTCATTAACTGTGCAGTCCATTGATAGACTACTCTATTATTGTTGTATAGTATATAATATAATAAACTCTTGAGTTGTTGACTTTCCTTACCAAATTATGCCTTCCATCAACGAACACCATGTTCTCAGTGGCTCCTGTCCCAGAGCCTACAGCTGGTGCTGAGAACTGGTCGTAAACTTGCTGATCATCATCGCCCTGCTTCACAAGGTCATCGATCTTTCCGTATTGGGCAAATGCTCGAACTGAATCACTGGATACTGAGCCTATGTGGTAGAGGCTGTAGTTCGAAGAGTGTGATTGTCCTAGAAACATTAAAAATGTTTTTTTATTAACAACGTTTTAAGGTTTATTTTGTTTTCATTTTTTGTTATAGCGCAGGTCGGATAACGAGCAGCAGGATTACATATATAAGATGGTAAATAATCGGCGGCGCCCATGAACACTCTCAATACTTAAGGAATAATTGCGTAACAAGTGCGTTGCTTTTTTTTTCAGGGGAAAATTATCAAATGACTTTTCCCGCCTAGGGTAAGGCGAGAGAGAGTGTCAGACTCTTACTGACTAAAAACACCCCCGTTCCTACTCCTGCTCTGGGCCGAGGCCGCGTTGCCTCATTGCGCCTAATCCGCAATCCCGGCTGAACATCACCCCCGTCTGTGGTGGTCTATTGACTCTTTGAGGCGCGCGCGGAATACTACGCGCCGTACGCTCGGGTCTGGTTATGGTCGGGCGGCGAACTACCTTTACTCGCCGTCCGCAGACCCGCGCTTACGAACAAGTGCGTTGCTGGCCTCTTGTGTGTTATTTGGTTACGGATAGGGGATTTGAAGATTGAGGATGGAAATTGATTGGGCCTCCGGTAACTTCACTCATACGACGAATCACAACATACGAGTATGTGTTTCTTCATTTCGGTATTCTGCGAGGCTGTGGTGTCATTCCGGTTGAGCCGACCCATTCGTGCCTAAGCATGGCTCTCCCACATTTATACTATTAGTAATTATACGTATGTCACAAACTTCAAAGCGAAGCGGTTTTTCTTAATATGTGGCATAGTGTGTATATATTCGTTGTTTATTATTATGAGTCCCTGGTCTGGCCTGGAACTAGTTGAGTAGCATTGTCGAATAGTTGTCTATTTTTCTCATTACTAATGGAAAAACTGCAATAAATAAAATAATTCATTGCAATTAAATACAAATGGGATGAGCTAATTTTCAGAGGCAGATTTGCCTCTGAAAATTAGCTTATTCGACGAAATCTACCTCTTATTAAATGTCAGATAGTAATATGTAGAGTAAATACGATTTTATATTATTTAAGTGTGACAAATTTGAATAAAAATGCCGTAATACTATGGGCTTATGTTGTGTCAGTGAGGTTACCAGAGGGTCCATTCCCATCCCCAATCTTTAAATCCCTCAATCCTAACCCCCAAAATGCCAACAACGTACTTGTTACTATTTCTGTACCTGTAATGTACCTGTTTTCTTTCATATACTTAGTTGTTATTCACATACACTGCTATATCAAGTTAAATTTAACGTTACTCTAGTTAAAGGAAGCGGACCATTGAAGCGTCTCAGTCCGCAGGGTGATTCTCAAAGGATTTTCTAATGATATTATTTATGAAGATTTCATTATAATCAAGCAAAACTGTAGTTTTTGTGTATGTGTTATTATTTTATCGTATTGCTCTAAGTGTGGGAGACCCATGCTTCAGCACGAATGGGCCGGCTCAACCGGAGTAATACCTCACAGAACACCGGCTTGAAGCAACGCTTACGTTGTGTTTCGCCGTGTGAGTGAGATTACCAGAGGCCCAATTCTTCCTCCCCCTCCTATCCTCAATTCTCAAATCCCCTATCCTTAAAGTATGAAAAAGTTATTGAACCCAATACTCTTACTTCTAAAATTGATTGAATAAGTCAACATATAAAAGTATGTTTAAATATTATCATACTGAATAGGCGTATTTAGAGGAATATTATTATAGAGCAGTAAAAAAATGGAACTATAATATTCCTACTAAAATTGTAATATAATTGAATAAATATAATACTAAAATTGTATTAATATCAAAACGCATTATTTTACAGACCTGTTTTTTTTTATTAACGAACATTTTCAAATAATATAAATGTAAAAATAAACCATTAAAAAGTTTTTTATTATTTTAAATTATGTGCTTTATAAAAGGTACATTGTGTTTATTCAAATTATTGAAATATATAATTTTAAATTAATGTAGTGAAAAGGCCCGGCGGGTGGTTAAGGTTCCTGCTTCTCATGCATGAAGGTGCGGGTTCGAAACCGAGCAAGTACTGATGTGACTTTTTCCGAGTTATACCTATGTAGTTTCTAAGATTATTTAGACTTACGGCGAAGGAAGCATCGTGAGGAAACCTGGACTTATAATTTGTAATTATAAGTTTTTAATCGCCAATCCGCCATGAGCAAGCGTGGTGATTAATTGCTCAAACCTTCTTCGTGTGATAGGAGGCATTTATTCAGCAGTGGGCACTTATATGCTGATGATGTGTGGGATAATTTAAAAAATAAAGCTTTTGAATTGTGTATTTGCACTAAAATAATTTCTCGTCGTTCGTTTTATTTAAATCCTTATCAAATAGTTTAACCACCAGTGCCAAGCAAAAAAATATGCCGTTTATACCAAACAGAAACACAAACCTGATCAATTTCACAACTAATAATTAATTCTAGCAGTAAATATACCTACAAGTTTAGATTTTCCAAAAATAAAAGATCATAAAAAAAAATTATAAATAATTTAGAATCTCCAAAGCCAAATAAATGTGAATTATTACTATCTTGCTTATTTTCACCCTGTTACGTTAATTTGAATTTGCAGAATAGCCCTCATACCATAACAATGAAACAATGAAACAATGAATTTATTTTTGCAAATAGGCCATAAAACGGCACTTTTACACGTCAATTTATATGTGAAAAACTAGATGAAGCCGGCATTTCCTATCTGACTACTCTGAGAAGAAATGCCGAAACAAACTCAGAGGTCAGTCTTTTTTCAAGTCCAGACAATGTAAAAATAACATAATGTGAGAGAATCGTGCAAGTTCATTCTGTAGTGGTCTTTTGAGGAAAGAACCACACCAGTTTAAGTGGACCCGTTCTGAAGACAGGCACGCAAGTGTCAGTTTGCAACCAGTATAGCTAGTGCTGCTGAGTTGTCCGACGAACAATACCGATCTAAAGAACATTTGGGTGGGTCGCGCAAGTACTCAAACTGTCAGAACGCAGATAACTGGTAATCAAAAAGCACGGCAAGTCTCACACGGTCCTTACACTAACAATAATATAAAATAATAAAAATGTCAATAAATAAATAAAAAAAAAATGTCAAATAAAAAAATAAAATGTCACAATAGGTGATATAAATAAACGTAATGTCAAATTGTATATAAAAGTGTAACTTATGTTACAAACATGTCAACATGACCTGTGCAGACATTACAGCGGCTCATTCCCATGCCTGACTATCCTCTAAGTAGTCTTTTATTTTATAAATGCTTTACAGCAAAGTTTAGCCTTTATTACACTTTTAAATTTATTGAGGCTCAAATTTTGAATATCGCTAGGAATTTTATTGTAAAAGCGTATACATTGACATCTAAACGAACTAGTTATTTTCTGAAGCCTGGAGGCAGGGACAACATATTTGTTTTTCCCCCTCGTGTTAATATTATGTATATCACTATGCTTCTTAAATAAGCTTTTGTTTTTATGAGCGTGAATTACATTTTCATAAATATATTGTGAGGCAACCGTCATTATCTTAGTTTCCTTAAATAATTCTCTGAGCGAATGCCTCGGACTAAGATTATAGATTGATCGAATAGCCCTTTTCTGCAGAACAAAAATAGACTGAATGTCAGCAGCATTCCCCCACAACAAAATACCGTATGACATGATGCTGTGGAAATAACTAAAATAAACTAAACAACTATCAAATAGTTTAACCACCAGTGCCAAGCAAAAAAATATGCCGTTTATACCAAACAGAAATACAAACCTGGTCAATTTCACAACTAATAATTCTAACAATAAATATACCTACAAGTTTCGATTTTCCAAAAATAAAAGTTCATAAAAAAATTGGCAAATAATTCAGAATCTCCAACGCCAAATAAATGTGAATTATTACTATCTTGTTTAATTTCACCCAGTTATGTTAATTTAAATTTGCAGAATAGCCCTCATACCATACCTTAGCCTTTATCAAAACATTTTATAGACCATTTACTTGGAAACAAGCGAAGTCAGATATGCAAATACAACAGTTTTCTTAGGGCGAGCTGGCTATGTTCATTTCGTCATAATTACTTGATATTATCGGGTGAATGTTCTCAAAATTATTTATAGCCCTGTGAATTTTAATTATCAAGCAATGTTGTGATGGATTGTAGAGTAGAAAATATTTATCACAACTTTTTACAGTTTCAACTGGCATCAAAAGAGTCAACTAAAGGAAAACATATTTGTATTTAATAAAAATAAAAAATGACATTAAACATATATTTTTAAACAAAAAAAAACCGACTTTAAAAAGTAAACTAAATTTACTTACAAAAAATAAATTTACTTTGTTTAAAGTAATAAATATTTTCATTTAGTTAAATAGACAATAATATTTAATAACTATTTTATAATTTTGAAGTCGGTGCCAAGTCCTCCTTTTTGGAAGTCGGTTAAAAAGGGTGCAGTTTCTTCCTCGTTTTTCGCTATATGATTATGAACCTACATTTTAGAAGTACTTTGCAAGTACTGATCAGTCGATGGACTATTCAACTTTTACATTTCACCGTGCATTTTTATAGGATTTATAGAAATAAATGCTTTGAGACAGAGAGTGCAGTGGCGCTCTGTAATAAACTTGAGTTTTTTTTTATTTACGATCTGAGTGGTAAGAAGAGTAAATAACAATACCTAAAATATAATATAAATACCATGGTCACAGAGTCACAAGTCCGAGATTTAACTTTAATAATGTCATCAACAGCGATATCCTCCTCTTAAATGTAGAAGATGCCCAAAACCAACCAAGAAATGTCACAAGCTCATTGAATTACTGATTGATTTTATATAATTTTAGGGTCAGAATGTCATTTTCTGTATTTTTTTTTTTTTATTTCATTTCCTACTGATAAATACTTCAAGGTACTAACCTTATTTAAAAGGAAAGTTTGTTTATAGATAAAAGTACCTATATTAGACAAAAATAACTTTTTTAATAACACTCAAGTTCATTCAACTTTATGTT